TTCGTGCAGCTACAGTCGGCTCAGGCCGTGATAAGAAGAACTCAGGGTAAATCCGTTTTGATTCAATAGTAGAGTAGAGCATCATGATCAGTTCGTGTGGGATAAGATTTTAATGGCCTAATTGTTCCGACCAACACCAGCGAGGGGTAACATCGGATTATAATATCATGCATCTGTCATCCAATAACTTAGGGTGGCTTTGTTGTACAGCTTTTCGTCTCAACTTCTATGGTTATATGTTAGGTCTGATTTCCTTGCCCTTTTGAGATGGGCTTGACTTCAAGAGGAGTTTAGCCGTTGTCAGAGGCTTTACTTCTCCTTCATTTTTTTTTTTTTTGTCAAAGGCCTCACTTGATTTGGCGGTATTCGAGAACTGCGCATTTGGTGGGTGGTGGTGCTCAGATTTTCGTGCAGCAGATAATGACTGGGTGGTGACTGAAGACTGACAGATAATGACATAGGATCTATCACTGACTTCTGGCCGGTTGGTATAACAGTTTGATCCAAAACATCGCATGCTAAGGAGATAGTTGTGGGGTTAGTTAACTCTCGGTAGGTAGAAGTCGCCCTGTTAGACTTGTTCATGTGGGGTTCTTTTCCACGTCAGTAATGAGGAGGTTTGGAAATGAGTAGATAAGTTCCTTGGGCGCCTTCAAAAGTTGCCGACTTTTAAAGATTGCTCAGGAATCTAGATTTATGTTACCGAATTTTTGAGTTTCTTCAAGAAAATGTCAGAAAAAAAAAAAAAGGAGATAGTTGTGGCTTCATTAGCTCTGCTACCAGCACCGGTGTTCTTGAATTTGGACTGGACTGATTGTTTCAACTAATCGAACCGGGTCTAGCCTAGAGGCAGTCAATCTCTATGAAAAAGTTGAACGTAATTAAAAACTAGTCAAAACCCATCAAATCCGTTAAACTTTCGACTGTTCAAATTCGATTTTTTTTAAATTTTTTTTGAAATTACAGTCTCTTTATCACCCGATTCCCGGCCTACTATTAGTGCCTTCCCACTTTACTAATTGAGCATCTGTTATGTTATTCTACCTTATAAAGTAATAACTGTAATTAAAAGCAAAAATATAGTAATTGATTATGGTTGAGATCTTACAACTGTAGATTCTATATTCAAATTCTTCCTTCTTCCTCTCCATTTTTTATATCTCACATCTTCTCTATTATAAAAACTAGTTTTGTACTCATTCGTTGAACGGGAATCGTCGAAAAATAATAAACTTTAGTCAATTTATAAAAATATCAATATAAAATACATATTTAATGTATAATCTATTATAACTTGTCTTAAATATATTACTATGTGTGCATTGTAATGTAAAGTATTCTTATAATATAAATTTGAACATCTAATTCAGTGACTAATAATTCAAAAAATAGAAAAAATAACATTCAACAATACCATAACATTCAAAAACTTCAAAATAAATAAAAAGTGCAGTAAATAGTATCAAATAATATTCTACTATTCAGAAACTTGTTTTTATTTTTTTCTGTTTGAACATTCTCCTCGATTTGTCCGTGCAAATCAGTATTTATTGATTTACTTTTATCACTGCATGATAGTAAAATAGGATAACTAAGTATAAAAAAATAAATGATTTATCGCATTCAAGTTTGTGTATAACAATACATAAAGATTATGATTAAGTAAACGGCCAGAGTCTTTTAATTAACTAATGAATTTGCAGATATATCTAATAGAGATATTTATGTCTCTTGTATTTATATCGCATTACTTTCCAGTGCCTTTTGTTTTTTGTTGTTTTTCCTGAAGGCAAATTAACAAACATCGTAGTATATGATCACAAAAATCAATTAATAAACATTTTATCATTTATTCCTATAAAAATATATTATCATTTATTCCTATATATCTAATAGAGGAGGTTATGTCTTTTTTATTTATATCGCATTACTTTCCAGTTCCCTTTTTGGGTAAGAAATAAAAATCATATAATATTAATAATTTTTATAGAAAATAAGAATTGATATATATCCAAACAAAAAAGAAGCAAGCCACGTAGAAAACTACTTACCATCTCATTAAGCCACGTAGGAAAGAGAAAATATGAAGAGATAAGAATGAGGATACGACTTTATTATATATATATATATATATTTAAAAATAGCACAACAAATGTAAACGAAAACCCTAAACTGTAATTATAGTCATTAAACCTGGCCTAAGATGAACTCGGTGAAAGGGATAGGTCAATGAGTTAGCAGTTCTTCCTATGTAGGTGGGTGGTACACACTTCAACCAGTTGGTCATTATAATATAATCCCTCTGTCTCAATAAAAGTGTCATATTTTCTATTTTGAGATGTCCCAAAATGTTTATCAATCTTGCTAAAGTAAAGGCTATTTTCATATATTTTTTTAATGTTATCCTCATCTTTATCTATATTTCATACTAAATCCAAATTTGAATTTTGAATTTTTGAAGGTAATTTTGAAAAAAAAAATATGTTAACATTACTATCAATCTACTATTCATAAAAAGTTGAAATTTTAAAATGCGATAAACATTTTGGGACGAAAGGAGTATATGAATAAGATATATTACAATTTTTAATACAACATATATGGTGTAATAATTAATAAATATATTATAAAATTTTTATTGAATTTATGAAATATTTATTTATTGTGAGAGTTATCACGAAATAATTTTATTTTAGTGATATATCTAATCTCCAAGTTTAGACTTGTGATTACACTTAGTGGAATTATATATCTTATTTACAAATTTAAGTGTAAAACGTTATTTGGAGTAATATGTGTCTTTAAAATGAATTGTAGCAATATATTATTTTTTTCAATTGAACTCTTAATTTTTTAAATGTCGTTTGAAGAGTAATAAGTTATAATAAAAGTCTCCAAAAGAGTATCTGAAATTAATGTTTAAAAAAATTGAAGAATAAATGTGAAGGCCTTGGCTATGTGTATCCATTAGGAGTTTGAGATTTAGATCCTATTTGATAATCCAACTCAGCATTTAAATTTAATGAATTTAGATTTTAACATGGTCAGACACGTTTGATAACCAAAATTTAAATTTCTGAAATAATTAAGTGCCATTGAATTTTCTAGGCAACACTTGTCTCAAAAAATAAGTGATAAACCATTCACTTATCACTGAATGTGATATACACCTAAACATATTAGATCTAATGCTTAAGAATTCAATTATTTAATGAATTCAGATTTCAAACTTCAATTTTATCAAACGCACCCTTAATTTTCACCAACGGATTAGGCTTGTGGCTTGGTGATAACTACAATGCTTTGTTATTTTTAAGGTCCTGAGTTCTAACCCTTGTTTTTTTAATAGCTAAACAAACCAAATTCATAATTTATTAAAGAATAGTTTTTATTGATTGTGATTATTTTTTTACAGTCAACTTGTATAATTAGATTTTGGAAACTCTATGGCAAACAATAACAAAGCCTCAGTTAATTACGTGGCCCTAGATATGCCACTGCAATTAGCAGGATTTCATGATTGATTTGCGAGACGAGCTAGGTAGGAAGATAAGCACTTTTGAGATTCATTGGAATATTAGAATATTGCAGCAAGCAAAATCATCGTTGAGGGTAAGTCATTAGAAGTTTAGAACATTATAGGATAAGCACATTTGAGAGTCATTGTTGAGGGTAAGTATCAAATACAAGCATTTTTAAGAGTCGTTGGAACATTTTAGAAGGTTTGCATTTTGGCCTCGTAGGGTATTGAAATCACAGAAAAATCTGCGTTTAGATATTCTTGTTGCATGTTACCAACTTTTTGATGTACAGGCAAATATATTTCAATCGAAAATCCTTGCTACAATCAATCATCTTGTATCTATCAGGTGACATAAAGAAAAGTTGATGAATCAATAAGATACGCAAGTTTTACCATTTTGTATATTTACACTGAACATTCATATGCTAGAACTGCATTCCTTCTTACGATCAAATCACAATTTCTAGTACTAATAATCTCTCTCTTCTAACAACCATATATATTCCGAATTAAATTTTGAATTATTTGATTTATACTTGTTGCCTGTCAAAATTTGTGAGTATTCTAATACTTGAAAAACCGACAATTGGCTAACAAAAATTGGTTAGGGAAATTCGCAAAAATTGTTGTGAATTAGATATTTTTTGGGGTGTTTTTGAAAAACTTTGCTGTAATAGAGTTTTTAGAATATATTTTGAAATATTTTTAGAAAATATTTTAGAATATTTAAGAGTAGAAGAGTTTCTAGAATATATTTTGAGATATTTTTAAAAATTTTAAGAAAAATTAAACTAATTTTTAAATTACCTTATAGAGTACTTTTTAAAAATTTTTATTATATTTGAAAAACTAGTTTTTAAAAAACATTGCAAGAGAATTTGTGCTTGCTAGGGCCTAAGGATGAATGGGTTCCATGAAAGAATGAAAACCTGTTAATAAGGTTGAAGAAGCTGTTGGAATGTTGGATATGATTGAGGGAGGGGTTGGGTTCAGGGTTCGAGGAGGAAATATCCAATCCTAATGGGTGGGCTGATTTAGAACTTAGAAGCATGCATTCATCCGTAAACAAAAAGATGGCTAAAAATAGGGTTGGCAGCCGGACGGGGCAGTCCTTCCTTTCCGCCTGCTCCGTCACCCAATAACTCCCCCTTGTCTCTAATCCCGGACCAGCGGGTGCTTCCTCGTCACCTCACTATTATTTTTATTTTTTATGTCATTTTATTTTAATATATGTATAACACTAATAAATATATTTACTCGTTATTATTTTAAATTTTCAGCAAAAATTTTAACACGAGATAAAATATAAAAATCATTTTGACCTTGTGAACCCATTTCTTTATATTGAATATTACGTAAAATCTAAATCAATTGGCATTATTCTTTTATAAACAATATGTCATAACAAAACAAAAATCAACTAACACAAAAAAAATTAACCACAATTATTAATTTTAATGGGCTCAACCCAAAAATAGTCAATAAATAACATGTGTAAATGGTCACATAAAAGTACAAACTAGAGGTACAAATGAATCAAGCCACTTGTAAATCCTTACAAGCTAACTTGGTGAATATTGAACTTAAGTCAAGTGCGAGCCGACCAAGTCAAGCTATCGAATTCGAATCAAACATAGATAAACTCGACTTGTTAATTCGCGAGTTGATTAAGAAAATTACATACGGATGTATATGTCATTTTAATAGTAAAATTACATATATAATCGTAATATTTTTATTATTTATTAAGAAAAAATGAATATTTTATTTATTTTATAAAAAATAAAATATTTAATTTTTATTATTTTCAATTTTGAGTGGTTTGAGTTTGAGTTCAATTAAATTCGAATTTGAGGTCAAGTTTAAACTCAAATTTGATGATAAAATTGAGTCAAAACTCGACTTGATTAAAATCATAATACA